ACTTATTTCATTAAACTTTAATAATAATAATATTAAATTGTTATTCAGTATTAATTTTTACATATAAGTGACTTATCTCTAAGAAAAAAACACAAAAGGTAAAGAAAAAATACATAGCCTGAACTAGGAATTTCCTGTGTTTCAGGCAAAAAGATCTTAACTACTTTAAATAATCAATTGATCAATAAAATAATAACAAAAACAAAAATACTGAATCTACATAAAATTATTCTGTATGACAATCAAAATTTCACGTCATTGTGGAGTTGTAAACTGGGCCAATACCCCTAATTTCTTCTTGATGTTACTATATAATCAATATACTTATTTCCGAATTTTCTTTTGTGTTTCAGTGTGTGTTTTAAACTGTATTCGATGCAATATAACGATAATACACAAATACGTCAAAAGTACAATATATCGACAAATCAAATCGATTTGAAAGAAAGATGAACGCAATCCTATTTTAATTAATCATTTACATTTACATCCGCCAAGAAGCTTCTCTTGAAAATGATTTTATTTGCCATTTGATGGCAATCATGCCTAGAAATGTAAATATTTGATCTCATTTGGAAATATGATTAAGTAATGACGATATTGAATTTAAATTGTGTTTAATTTAACGACAAAATAAGTCCATCAAAAAAGACACATAGTCTTTAAGTCTTTGATGATTCTGACTGTCAAATTTAGATCTTCGACCCAATGTCACCCAATGTCTTCATTATTAAAAAGTCTTCCATACTGGACTGATAGAGAATGAAAATACTATACTTATGCAACAGCTGCTAGTTTACTCCACATCCTGAAGTACAGAGAAAAAAATCTACCAACGAACTCAACAATATCATAAAATAATTAGTTTAGTCACTATTGCTACTAGGCGACAACTTAAATTTAACAACTACAAAATATATTATTAAAGTGCAACGCCATTCATATTGTGGCAACTGGGTCAATATAAAGTGCCTTAATACTTTTAATGAGTCTGGAACCTTCATTCACCTCGCAAAAGATACTTAAAAAATTAAGCTCTTTCTAACACATAGTTTTTGGACTAAATTTCGTTCAGACTGTTTCATTGTTATTTCCAATACTATAATTAAAGTTAAAGTGCTCGAATACAATCATTCGTGTTGCATCTACATCATTTGTAAATATTTGTCTTTTACAGTTAGCGTAAAAAGTGCTAAATAATAATGTATCAAGATACTACAGTAAGTAAAAGATACGATAGAAATACCACCATAATTGTTAGGAGTTCAATGTCTTCCAGAGAAAGTTTTAATTTAATCAGGAAGCTTCTTTTACCATCAAAACAACCCGAGCATGTCGTAAAAGAGATTGCCGTTTGTAGAGAATCTTCTACCTACAAATGGCAATCTGTTTATCTCTTTGCCGTTGAAAGTTAGGTGAAAACATGCCGAGTTTATAATAAGTTACGCGGATTAAACTGTCGCTTTAAGTTATTTTTATCACTCAGCCTCTAAATATTTTTAGCTACAGGTCTTCTTAAAATTTAATACGGTTATAGGTGAAAGAGTTTATCCATTACATTAATATGTGAAAGAAAACTTTGTACTTACCCACTTTTTAGTTCATTTTGCACAGGGAGGAAAGCGAGATTTAAGCAAAATAAAAGTTTTTATTGAGAAAAAATTTACATACATCTCTCTAACGTTATTGAGATAACAATAAATATTTTATAATCAATCACGGTAAACATTAAAAGGTATTAAGTAAATAAAATTAGTTTTAACGAGTAATTATTATAGTACAGTACGAGTACCGGCTATTGAAATCTATTGCAAAGTTAATGCACGAACTCTATTTATTTATTGACGCTTAGGTATTAAGTATTTCGGTCAATAGGCTCACAATAAGTGTAAACACCTAACATTTAACAGAAGAGTGACATTTGTTTGAGTGACGCATGAACTTTAGTTTTTTGGAAATTCCTCAGGAACCTCAAATTTTTCGGGACAAAATGTATACAATGTAAATCCAGGAAACTATGTGTGTGCCAAATCCAATCCAAATTCGTTCAGCCGTTTATGCGTAATTGACTAACAATTAGGATAGTAGAATTAAAATAAACTTTGTTTCGTCGCGCGAATCTTTAACAAGCAGTTCATTTATGATGCCGCGTGAGAAGCATACTACTAGCAACGAAAACCCCTTTGCATCCGAACCGAATAGATGAGCATGCAGCCACTGAACATTGATTTGATTGATTGTAAGCTCAATTTTCGAATAATTATTTTGTGTTCTCAGTAACTACCAGAATACCACAGGTACTGTTAAATGATAATTATGAATGCATAGAACAAACGACAAGGCTACTCACAGTAAGAATATTTTATCACTATGCTTTTGTGTGGGAAGAGCGGTGCGTTTGATTCAATATAATTGTGCCATTGATGTAGCATACACAAAGAGAATTTATCAACAACCTAACATCGTAGAACTCCTAGTTTCATCAAGATTATGAATATCAGGAGTTAAAAATTACATCTTTTTCTTATACCCAATTCTTATAAATGTTTAAACTTAGGCGTTTATTTATGCCAACTTTGTCACTTTCTTTTGAATTTAAGTACTCGATTATCTGTAACGGTTCTCACTACCTTCATGATGAGTGAAATCAGTAATTTTGAAGTGGAAACCCTTCAACGATGTGTTTAAGTTACTATGTCTATGGGCGTGTACATCTATTGAAATCTTAATCTCGAAACACTGCTTGCTTTAATTACCGGCTATTGAAATCTATTACAAAACAAAGATTTATTACACGACAAATTCTCACAGAATACGATACATACGCAATCTTTTATAGTCCTCATTAGAGCTTTTGGTATGTTGAATTGTTTTATTAAGATCGATAAGAGATATCATGTATTAAGATAAAGCTCCCTTATTAATTAGGCCGGCCTTACAGTCTACAGTTTCATAATTGTATTTAAATCTGGTTATGTTTCATTATATTATTTAAATTAAAATAAAAACTAGTCACTATATATTATTAAAGTATCAAAATACAAGAAGTTGCTTGGCCTATAAAATATTTCTTATACTTTAGTTTCTTACGCCTCCTATTAACAAATTATTGCAGATATGAAAGTACTTCATAATCATACAATACACATATAGTATACGCAATGCCTGTAGCTATTCGTGTGATAATTTCTTTTTATGTAGTTATAATCTGATCGACAATTGTTTCTGTAATAGGGTCGCTACGACGAGCGACGACCGACGTTCAGTTTTACAAAATCGTACCTAATTAAGTTATCGCAAGTAAGTGAGATCTGAATTAACATTTTAGTGGAGCGTTGATTTTAAGCAGCACGTGACACAGATACATAATTCTCAGTGCAGACGCAACAGGGGCTTTTGTGAATGTTACTCACTTGTCAAATGATATCGTTAACGTATTCACAATGCGGTGCGTAACTCAAGTAAGCGGTTTCGGTATGTCTCTTGACTATTATATTGGTGACAGTCCATTCATCATAAATAATGACGATCAGTTTAAAAATTACCAGGTCTTCCGTTTGAAGAAAAAGAAATAAAGAAAACAAACGCATCAACTGTTGTACCTACAAACAAATGCGGATCGATACAAACATATGTTTTGTTGTTATTATTTGTGACAATGACATTATGCAAATATTTCGTACCATAATGTTCGGATGTTGGCTAAGAGTTTATGAATGTTTCTTTTGACTTTGACATATGGCCTCTGGATGTCAAAGTTATACCTCATATGATATGAGCAGCTTGCGTAAAAGTAAACATTATTAATTACAAATTAAATTTATCATTAAATGAATTATATCACAGTATACGTAGAGCAGTTACAGTTTGATGCAAGTTTTAATGTTTTTGACCCATTTTACGTATGAGAGTAATACTGAGTTTTATTTCTGAATGTATTATTTAATATTAAATCCATTTCATTAAACTTTATGACAGCAAACAAATATCAATGGAAAAGACATCTAAGTTTAATGAATGTATGTTATGTAGTCTACAAAAAAGTGATATACTCGTTTTGTCAACACTTCGATTTTTTATAAAGTAATTGTAGCAGTCTGAAACCATTAACTCGAGGCAAATAAATTACTTGAATAATCAACTTCTGTTCATCCGAGCTTCTAAATTACACGTATTGATATTAGTAATTAATTGAGATGCATTCAAGAATCAATTTTATAATAATAAGTATTTCAAACTAAATAAGTTTCCAAATACAATCAGAACTGCTTTAATTTGAATTAATAGTATGCAAAGTTTAAATTTTGATACAACACATGACACAAATATGAATTTTAAAAACTTCTAACTTTCAAGCTTTCAATCTAGACGACCTTCAGCTATTAATTGTGAAACACTAAGATTTTAGCATAAAAATACTACAAATATTGATAAGTCAGGTCTAAGATCTCGATATTTTGAAAAATTCACTAAGTCACAAATTCTGCCATTAAGCTACTAATAAGAAGCACCCTTGAGCCGCGAGGTACCTCTGTCTCAAAGTGTTGAAACCGCCCCATAGAAAAGGGCTCTCAGTAATAATCTCAGCATCAGCGGTGTCGCAACGGCGGCGTCTTGACACACATACTGTAAACCATAATCTAGTACCGACACTTTGCGCGTAAATATTGGATATACATCACGCACTTAAACACACACACACACACTCTTAGTAATTTTGTGTCAGCTAAAGACAACCAGCGATTGGTCATTGTGTCAATTGTCGCAACACATGTCTACTTTACAAGTGACGCCCGCCATTAGTTTTCAAACTAAAACCTAAGCTTTATAGTTGTATTTAAAATAGTAAATGCTTCGAGATAATCTGATTGACCTTTATTAATTTTCATTTAATGTGTATTATTTTATTATGAGTAAAAATAATGTTATCGATAATTTAGTTGACCTCGTTGCGTCACCCAGATCATCCCTTCGCGTCCTTTTAGTTCAAGTTCACTTACCTTGTTTGTTGTTGAAATAAATATGACGGCGGGAAAATATCACACGAGTACTGTTGTAATAGCGCGCAGCAGGTTTCGTCCACGTCTTTTATAGGCGCTGTAGCGGGGATGAGCGCGTGCGCACGGGGGGACGGACTCGGCAGACACGTTCGTGACATTACTGACCAACTAGTGGTGACCTCTATGCCCCTACTGGCATCTCTACCCTGCAATACCACCCTGTCTAATGGACCTGTGACAGGATACTAGTGGTGGTGCTTAAAAAATGGTATTTGAATATACACACACACACATGGTCGTATTTTTTATAAAATCTTGAACTCAATTTTTTTAGTTTAAGACTTTTTAAATATAAGAGTTTTTTATATGAAATGAATTAGCACTCTTCTCGTGACCTTGCCAGTATTACAACTAAGCTACCAGAGTCACTTTAGGTCAAAATTGTACAAAGAATACACTGTAAGATATCGCAAAGCAATCCTTCAGGATACAGCATCCTTAATATTAATTTAAGAAACCAGTCGTTAGGTTCTTTACATCCTATTGAAACCCGGTTATTTTGGTATAAAATATTATGATGTTTATTGTAGAAAAATATTTATTTAAACGCCTTTTGTCTTTATCGGTATTGTTTACCAATTATAAATAATTACATTTTGGACGGATCATGCAAATCGATTGAACCTTGCATTCTTATTACTTCCGATTTGATGTACGGAAATAGGTTTTAGGTAGGTACTATTTTTTATACTCATCATGTTTTTTTATGTGTGGATATCTTACATGGACAAGTTGTTAATATTTGCAGGTCATTGACATCTAAAATCGGTTTAATATCCATGTCAGTAATAGTTAAAGCTGTGGTAAAAAGTATTATCATCATCCTTTTAATGTCCCTTTGCTGAGGCACACATGCCAATACTGCGCACACAGTAGAGTTGCTAAATTCCACGACCGCAAACCAAACACGCCAATCACCTGAAAAAACGTTATCTCACACTTCCCCTGAAAAAATATGTTTTTTAAATCATATTTATTCTTTATAGGAATGCAACCTACTCGTAACTACGCGAGAACATTTTCGTTAATCTTATTTCATGTAAATTACATTAGTAAGTTTAATATAAGTTTCTATATATATATATATATATATTTTATTATTTACTTTAATACTTTATTAGAAATTCATAACGACTTAACACATTTACTAAAGAAGAAAATTCAAAGTTATACATATCGAAATTTAAATATAATAAAAATATTTGTACAGTTAAAAAAATAAAACCATGTCATAAAGATCGGTCGAGTCGAGACCTTTTGTGATTTTGTGATGCGAGTGATGTTTTCTCAACCATGCAAGTGTTTGATTTAAATAATATTATATCCAATATTCCCTTGAGTAGGCCTATGTCCAGCAGTGGACATCCATCGGCTGATGGCGATGATGTCTAATATTTGAATTCAGCCATTTGTTGTCCAGTTCTGGACATACGAGGCCTCGTCCAGTTTGCCCATCTCTGAGGTAGGCGTCTAAGAGACTAGGGTGCCATTCGCCTAACGGAAATGCTGTGGAAAACGCTAACGCTTTCGATTTTATTTTGTAATTTGTGACCGCCAAAGGTTTTCAAACACCTCAAGCTCCTTTCTTTAATATTATTATTACCAATGTAAAGAAAAAACAAGATCGCGAGGCATTTGAAAACCTCAGGCGGCTAGAAATAACAAAATGAAATCGTAAGCGTTAGCGTTTTCCAGTTCCGTTGTCCAGCGCTGAAAGCTGCCTAGGCTTGAGCTTTACGACGATGCATATCTGCACTGCTTGATTTTGATTACCCAAAGTGATCGATGGTGTTAGTGTCGTCAGTCTACAAAGACAGAGCATATTCTGCTGCTTCCAGAATATTGTTCATTATTTCAGTCTTTGAAATATTCGTCTTTAGACCTACTTTAAGTGATTCCATTCTTAGTTCAAAGATAATTAATTTTGCAACATTTCCTCTACGCTTTGCGAACATTATGCCAAATTGGATGAAAATATCAGGTTATTGAGTCGTTCTCCATCTATTAAAATATCTTTCTCGTATTATATCGTTGTCAATGACTGTGTATATTTATAAAAATAAAAGAATAATAGTAGAATAACAGTGGTAGGACAAAGTGGCTATCCCGCCCGAATTAGAACGCCCGTTTAGAAGTAAACTTCACCTTATAGAAGACCACTCTGAAAAAATATTGTAACCTTTTAATAGTATTGTGTTTCTGCCGGCGAACAAGGGTTTCCAGTGCTCCATAGGGTTAGGGATATGGTCTGGGTGAGGCAACGCGTGAATATACTTTTATGGCATAAAGGTCTATTGGTTGTCGTGGCCACTTATCATCAGGCAGATTAATATCCTTGTTTGCCAGCCTTTAAAAAGCTAAGTTATTAAATAATTCGTCGTTAATATTTGGCAGCACTTACGAAGTCTCTTACAGCATTAAATTATTTAAGCCTCAATCTAAGTAATCACAGCTCAGTCATGAGGGCTTGCAGTACTGCATTTTCGTGTAGTTATATATTGATTTATATTTATCCCCTATGACCCAGCGAACTTCGTATCGCCATAAAAATATGGATGGTAGAGGGGTGAAAGTTAAGGGTTGTTTGTGTTTTTAATATTACGATACATATTCAACGTAGTTTTTTTTTCTTCAGACGATTTAATAATTATTTTGAACACAAAATCGGTTATGGTGATTAAACCATGATAGCTAGATATATGTTCTCGCGGACTTTTTTGTAGGTCTTAATGGGATCTACAAACCCGTATCATCATTTTGTTCTATTGTCAATAATTTTAGCAGCGCACGCAAAAATAGGTTCTCGATTTTACACCTTGTGTTACAAAATAGCAATTTTATTACGGATCCCTAATTTTGAAAAAAAAATATAGCCTATAGCCTTCCTCGATAAATGGACTATCCAAACTGAAAGAATCATTAAAATCGGACCAGTAGTTCCAGAGATTAGCGCGTTCAAACAAACAAACAAACTCTGCAGCTTTATAATATTATAAGTATAGATATCGAGGAACAAACAAAACCTGGGAGTCTTATCATACTAGAAACCGTATTTTTATTGAATACTCAATTTTATTGATGTGAAAACTTCTTAATCGGCGTTGTACATTTTTTTGTAATGGGTAAAAAATGTTAAACGCGCGTCAGGACACGTGGCCTGATCGAAAATTCGTAAGACGCAAACAATAAAATTGGGAAGGTTGTTGACTTTCAATATATTAGACGAAACATATAATATTATATTACAAATATTTTATTTTATCGTATTAAAATAATAAGTCTCTAACTAGGACGTTCAGGTGGTAGCTTTATTGCGAAGAAAATGCATTTTTTTTACAATATCTGTCGCTAGGTGCACTTAAATGTGATTCATGTAAGTTGATTTTTCTGAGAGATAAACTTTTTAATGTAATAAAAATTGTCATGTTCGTGTACGATAGCGCATTAAATAAATATTATATTCTACCACATAAATGATAGTACTTTTATAATAATTAAAGCAATTCGTGCAAAATTATTCCCTATCCATTCCAAAATATCAAAAATGCACAACGTTATTAGTCAAGTTTTCACTTCTGCCGGCAGGCCCAGAGTGCAACCTGTCGTTTTTTTTAATAACGCCGCCAAAGCAAAAAGCACTAGGGAGATGAAAACTAAATCAGTAGTTCCATCAAGGCACTATTAATGAAATGAGTAAGTTGATACTAAAACGAAATATTGTGTCCTAGGTTTCAAATTATCATATCTGTTAAAGTTATTGCCTACAACAATAACTTATTAACTAAAAGCTGTGATTACTTAGATGGAGGCTAAAATAATTTAGCACTGTAAGAGATTTCATAAGTGCGCCCAAATGTTAATTTATTTTGCCATAAATGCTATAAATTATAGCTTTACTTACCTTTTTAAAGGGTGGCTAACAAGGATTATTAGTCTTTGTACTAAAAGTAAAGGAATAGAGGGAGAGAGGAAACGAAAGAAAAATATATACTGTATGAATAGTTTTAAAAAATGACCGTACTATTTAATTACTTTGTTTAGTTTGTATGGAATACTCAGTGTGCGATCCCGACTCGCACTTGACACGATGCATTCCATACCAAGAGGAAGAGAACTCTTAAAATAAAAGAGGAAAAATTATTTACGGTGGTTGTGAGGTTGGGAAGGGTGACCTTTAAAGAATTTCACACACAGGGGCGGGAAGATTTTTTTTTTCTCTATTTTGGTGAAAACTTACCTTTTTATATCCTGAACAGGTTTTTTTTCAATATATATATATATATATATATATAGTTATATTTTCCCTGAAATTGATTTTATATAAAAAAAGTTACGATCAAAAAAATCGCCCGTTAAAAAGTTGATTTTTAAATAAGTTTGGTGCCCTTTTGGTTTTTAGGAATCTGTATACCATCAGAAATGGTATACAAAAATATACACTATGGAAATGTTTCTCAGAAAATGCGAATTCATTGTCATGATTCTCGACATTTTAAGGGGGAAACGGTTTAATTTTAAATTCGCAACGGATTAAAATCAACTAATTAAGGGCAGTTCATCATTTGCAAGGTAAAGGCAATAATGCTTTGTTTACTCACTTCGCTTCTTGAATCCAGTTTCCAATTCAGAAATTTTGTCCACATCAAATAAAAAAAAACTTATTTAAAAATCTACTTTTCTTAAAGGGTACTTTGATATAATAACAATGTAAGGGAAAAATAAAATATTTTGAAAAAAAAAAGTATTTAGGACATAAAAAGGCAAGTTTTCACCAATTTTTGGTGAAAAAGAAAATTCCCGCCTGTCTGGCGAAACCCTTTAAAGGTTACCCCCCTACCCTTTCCAATAAGTTTTTTATTGTTGTACGATGAGAGGAGCTCCAAGGCGCAGGTGGTTAGCGCGTTCGGCCTTCGGTCGTGGAAGCGTGGAAGAAATTTCGCATTGGTTGGTTGACCAAAAACTTACTATCGCGAGCTCCTACGTGCTTTGGT